GAGCGGTGTTTAAATTTGATGCTTATTTTAGTGACATTTTGGGGATTTTGGGCAAAAAACCAGGGGGGGGTGGTCTAACCCCTAAGGGAAAAATCACAAAGTTGGCTCACTTTGTCTTTTAGAGTTGTTGGGTAGTACCTTTAATCTGGCAAAGTCTCATCCAAAAAGGAGAGATGGTATTATCACCCCTGCCTGGTCCTCTGGTAAACTCGGTCTTAAGTTGCTCGTGTACGAAATACTCTTGGAATGCCAAAATGAAGATACTAGTAAGCGAATTGTTGTAGTGCTGAAGAAAGAGCAAACCAAAATCGCCAGACTTTTTGGATTTGACATCCCAACCTGATACGTGCTTAGTGCAGTCATATAGTAATTTTTTAACAGAAATAGACCATTGGTTTGTTTTATTTTATCAACTTCTATTGATTTGAAAAGTTACATACAATTTTTTGTTCAAAAACAAAAAGACACGCTTTACAGACGCGCACTTCCGTTCCTTGTACCTCTCTCCTACTTATAAATGTGGAATTGCGTCAGGTAATGCTAATACTACACAGCAGCAACAACACCAGATTGTGTATCAGCCTATTTTAGACTATTATTTAGGTTTTTTTCAATAAATATATGTGTTTAATTCATGATGGTTTTGACTTTTCGAGGTCATGCCCATAATGGTGCCTCTTTAACTAATGTTAAAGTCAACGTACGCTCTCAGTTATGAGTTTTGCCAAAATCAGATATTCCTGTTTAACAGTTCTTGGGACGATCACTGAGCTGCCTTCTCTTTATTCATGTTGCCGTGCTCTACTGTAAGCTGCAAGAACAATAGTGCTGCTTCCGAACAGGAAACTTCCCACGATTGTAGAACAAACTGAATGGACGGATTTGAAAAGAACGTAATAGAGTAGCTTACACAATTATTCGTCTGCGTTAAATATAATTTAGAATCAAACGTAATGGGTGAGCTGTACTGGTGTTCAGTTTAAACCCCATTATACTTAAAAACCGAGTAATAACTCCAGTAGAAAATATTGAAGGCGAGGTAAGAGACGGGAAAAAGTATACGTGAGACTCGATCAACAATACTTGCATTATTTTCAAGGAAAGCAAACTTTACAAGTTCCTTAGTTTTTCGGAGACCACCAGGACTGCTGCTGTGAGAGCGTTCACGCTGTCCCTCGGGAAATGTTTGCTTATCATCATCGTCATGGTGTTTAGTATCCATTCCTGACGTTTCAGTCCCGTCATCCTAAAAATGGTAATAGTATAACAATTATTAATCAAGAAAAAAGACGCAGAGATCAAAGTCAATTTTAGCAACAATTTTACTTTCTAAAGTGTTTAGAACTTGTGTATAAAACCGTGTCCTATTAATTTCGCTTTTAAAAGCTACGTGACCTTGAAATACACTTAACAGCTCCATATGCAGGTACCGCACGACATATTCCTCAAGGGTGTTTTAAAAAATAAACTACTGAAAGAATTAGCATTCCAGAGTAATAGCTGTTTTTAGAACTTTCTAGTAACATGCATTCTCTAAGTTTGGTAACCTAAACTTACCTGTCTCAGAGGCAGCATCTCAACTTCGGGTCTGTCTTTTTCTTTCTTTTGCTCTTTGAGTTTTTTCTCGTGATGGAGAATGACAATAACGTACTCCAAGACAGCACCAAACACGAAAAAGAATGAAATAATAAAGAAAACATCAAGAGCCTTGATGTATGACACCTAGAATGATAAAATAAACGTAACGTAAGCGTGTGTAAGATTGATAGAGTTATGCTCCATTAATTGAACATGGTCAGGACCGGGTCTTTCCAAACTGTTAGACCCTGCATAAAGTAAAGGATCATAAATTTCAAACTGAAAGAGAACGCAAACAAGTACATAAGAACAAATATGCAAAAAAATCGCAGTTTGATTGCCCTCGCTGAAGTAACAGTCAGCATTTTATGTCAGTTACATTTGAAAAGATTCCCCACATTAGTCTCAGTTACAAGCTTGTTCCAATCCTAGACCAAGAATACGAATATGGTCTATTGTCGACGCACTCAGGGAACTGATGAGACAAGACTTTTTTAAATACCATTCGTTGACCAATCACCAATTGATGCAATGTAAATCAATATCTCTATGTTCATAACACCTGTCTCACCTTAGGCACAGACGAGCGAAATGATCCCATAAGCGTTACTATAGTTAATACTGTCGTCACCCCTAGGGCCACACGGGCGGGAATTGCATCTTTTGAAAGCCAAAAGCTCAGCCAGGAAAGTACCACAATCAAAAATGTTGGTGCGTAGATTTGCATGAACGAGTATCCAAGACGACGCTTGAAGATGAATACTGCCCACAAGTGAGAAAAGTCTGATCCTTGTTAAGAAAAGAAAACCGTGCTACCTTTTTTAGTGCACTGACAATTAACGCTTGCGATTACGTGCTCATTGCTCCATTGAATTTTTTATTATTAATGACTGACTCAATGACCTGACTGACTAATCGACAGACGGACCATCTGACTGACTGACTGACTGACTGACAGCTGGCTGACCAATCGACCGACCGACCAACCGACCAACTGACTGACCAACTGACTGACTGACTGGCTGACTGACTGACTGACTAACTGACTCACTGACTCACTCGACTCACTGACTCACTGACTCACTGACTGACTCACTGAATCACTGACTCACTGACTCACTGACTGATCTGCCGAATGACTGATTGACCAACCGACCGACCGACCAGCTGACTGACTGACTGACTAGCCGATCGACTGATTGGTAGTACTCTGAACAATATTGCATCGCATTCACGCATCCACGTTGAATTTCTGTGATGCAATGCGAAAAGTTAACCGAAAAAAGGACTATGGCGCACAAATTAAATTCTGACTTACTTGAGTTACGGGTACCATAATGTACCAGTCCTTTTTTGGTCTTAATGTCTGTAAGAGTATACTCGTTCATTTCATCTCCAAGAATGACGATTCCTTGTTTATCTCTGGCCTTCCAAAAGTAGTCGACTTGCTGAAGGGGATAGGCGTCTGAAAAACATGAAAACAACAGCTAAAAGAGGACCTCTTCGTACTGATATGGCTAGAAAACACAAAAGGAGAGAGAGCGCTCGAAATCCACTGAAATAAAAGGTAACCATCACAAACAAGCTTCGATTTTTTTCTATCTTTGACCATAACTTTCTATTTTCATAATGTTTCGGCTTCTAGGAAAGAAGGAAAGAGTGCCCTTGCGCGAAGTCAGTGACTTCCGTATTGGGCTCCTTTACATTGGCCAGAACTTATTGCACAATAGAGCTGAATTTTGTATAAATATATTTGGCTAGAATAACGCATCTGTAAAATTGGGAAAACGCGAAAAAAGTCTCATTATGATGTCATTATTTGGGAGAAAATAATCAACTCAACAGCTTAGCAGAGTAAGGTTGCAGGACTGTCCATCAAGTGGGTAGTCCCTCAGATCCAACTGGCAATTTGCTGTCATGGTAATCCTGTAATCAAACACAGGTTAAAAACTATATGCAAGGAGATCATCTGCGCAATAAAATAGATGTTTATTTCCTACATTAGTCATCTGTTGTCGCCGTCTTTAATTGCATACAATATGCTAGACACTGTTACATTGTGCATACCAAGCTATATAGTTAAACAACAGTTGAAGGTTTGGACAAAAGCCACTCTTCAGAAAGGTAATCCCAATTTTACTGTCTATACAATAAAATTTACTTATAGCAAGACTTTTCCTTTAAATATTTCAAAACCCCCACGGTACCTTGAACTCCACGTGATCTGACCGTTATGTTTGATTTTTACTCTGCTATTGTCGGCGGGTACGTTGTGAAACTTGGCGGTCTTAATGTTGAGGAAAAACGTGTCTGGGAGCCAGATAACATTTCGATAAGATCCGGTCAAGAAAATCGGCTCTTCGAGGGTGTGGTTCAGTCGTGGGTCATGCCAGTATTGGCGGAAGAAGACATCCATAGAAAAATCCTACCAAGTCAAATAAAGAACTTTACGTGCCACGAATAAAGGCTTTATATGCCACGGGGAAAATTTACTCCTGGTGCACATTACACAAACGTAAACAAAATAATGAAGACGGAATCTGCCAGTAGTTCGAGTAACAAGTGGACAAAAACCTAGTGCCAAGATTATTTACATCGTATTGCAAACGTCTGTACAAATGTTTTAAATATCCTCTAAAAAAAATCATTTCTAGCAACACAAAAGGTCGAGAACAAATGTTGAACTTCGTATGGAACACTTAAAAGTACTTGTGAAATGAAACTGATGATGAAATTTTACCTGCGTTTGCAAAATTTCTCGGAACTTTGAAATAGCTGTTATTGAAGTTATCAGCGGTTTGACATACAAACGAGGCGAAATTAAAGGATCAATTTTGCTTTGTATTGACCCGTTCGCCTCGTTTGTATGCCTTTTTAAACAAAGGAACATTTGACCGCAGGCTCAACTGCAATAAGAGCTATTTATTTTCTCTCGTTCCCATGGGAAATTGTTTTTGGTGTTATTTCAGGCTACTATTTATATCTTTAACTTGAAGAAAATGTAAAAAGGACTGTAAAATACTTAAAATTATTCTAGTACCAGATTTTTGTCCACTAAAATCTGAAATTGCTTGATTTTCTATCGGATTTCATCTTAAATATTAAAGTAGAATCAACCACCGTTTACTAATGCAATGGTGATGTCGATCAAGATTAGAAGACTGTATTTTTTTGTCATTACATACCATGTCAATCTCTCTCACTTTTCCTAAATGTACAACGGACATGTCTATTGTAATGTTAAGGGCAGGACCTGAAAAAAAGACAGTTACTGAAATGTTTGTGTTTTGGATTGTGGTCTTTTCATCCAAGATCATGTTAATGAAAGTAATCTGCGGTCGAGTGTCGATCGATGCCCTCAATCGATACTAGATCGACACCTCGGTTGACACTTGATCGACATTTCGGACGACATTTCGGACGACATTCGGCCGAGTGTCGACTAATCTGTGTCGATCGATACATATGAGTAGGGCGACACTCGGTCGACTATCGACCGATCATCGACAGACTGTTGATCAAGTGTCGATCGAGACGTTGAATCGATTGTCGACCGAGTGTCGGCCGAGTCAGAGAGTGAGATGTCGACTAAGGGAGTCGATCGACACTGGACCGCAGATACCTTTAGTACAGATGATGCATTTATTTTTTAATTCTTGAGGGTTACTTAGTATAGCAATTCCCAATGAAGCGATATGCTGCTTGATTTAGGAAAAAAGTGAAAATGCCTCTTGCCAGATGAGGCAAAACTTTGATAAGTTCTCGAAAATTACACTAGAAATAACTAGATCACCAAGACAAATTCACGGAAAGTCAGTAAATACCTAAAAATTGAAGGTAGATCTATTACCTTTGTAGTAGGGCCTCAGTCTTTTATCATAATTTTCTTCATCAAACAATTTCTTCATTGTATCTGTGGCACTCTTATAGCTTTGAAGAAAACCAAATAATTTGTTTAATAACTGCATGTTAACTTTCAAATTACAGTGGAATACCAATTCTTTGAACATTCAAGGCAAAAAAAATTGGTTTGAAAATTCGGTCAGTTCGAGAAATGGTGTAAAATTTTATTGCTCGACTTGGGGAAGAGAAACGTCTTTGGGTTCTAGTTATTGGGAGATTAGAAAATCGAGGGAGTGAAAAAATCGGGATCCTTGTGTATCTAACTTTGGTTTTTGTATGAATATGTTTCCTTTCTATAGGCAAGGACATTTGGCAAATTTCATTTCATTGGTATAGCAAAGCCAAGAAATGTGCACATAACGCAGTCTGTGCGTTAAATGGATCAATCAGTAATGAACGTAAATAGTGACGTTTGGAATCCGCATAGTCCTTATACAAGGCGAAAAATACTGAATTGATAACCACTCGATGAGTAGGATAATAGCCATAGTCGGATACTGTATTTTTATTAAACATTGTTTTTCTTTTTTTTCAGGGCTGTCTTTGGTTTAAAATTCGAGTTAATCCGTCACATTATCACTTATTCCTGGTTTATTTTACCTCTTTGACCATCCTTGTTTTTTTGTTTTGTTTTGTTTTCATTTTTTTCTACCAAAATTTTTCTTTCGTTAAGGTTTTCGAGATTTGTATTTATGGGCTTTTACAGAAGCATACTTTAATATATTATAAATATTAATTTAGGCACAAATTTAATTTTCATTTTGAGTCTGGTTCAAAATGAGCTTGCTAAACCACTCATCGTCAAAGAAAGAAAAGCAAGATAAGTGATATAAAGCCTAGTGTTTTTCGTCCATGTCTTTCCAAAGTACCACCATGCCGTAACCGACATAAATGACGTCTTTTTATGAATCTGAATTCAACGTCACGTATTTATAATATGCGGGATGATAAGTTATAATTTTTTTTTTCTTTTTTTTTTTTTTTTCAAATAATCGAAAATTATAATGCTTTGCATTCTGTGAAATACTATATTTTAGAAAGTTCATTCATATTGTACCTGTTTTCTGAAGACGAAGCTACTGAATACAGCAGGGGTGACCATGTCGTGATATATATAAGAAACAGTGGTGGGTACATTGCGGCTGCACTCATCTAAAAATATAAAGAAGAAATAAGCCAATACAAAACGCGACCAGAAGTTTACAGTACAAAGCCAACACCTACATGGAACATAACGACAAGTCCTCGCGAGTAAATTTGATATATATTGCGCGGATCTCAGAATCTATCGTTATAAACAAAATGAGTTTCGTTAAGTTATGAATTTTACAAACCGAGAAAACCAACAGCTGTCTGATTAAACTACATCCCAATTAGCTTTATGCGCTTTTCATTCAAATGCGCACGCAAATTATTTATCCATAAATAATAATTTGCTTTCGTGCAATTTATGACTTGGTGTTTTTTAAGTATAAAGGAGAATATTTCTAATTTAGCATTTTCTCGAGGATTCTCGTTATTAAGATGCAAAAAAAGGTAAGAATCTAAGGTAAAGTAAATTGAGGACATCGCATCTTTTTCAGATTATGTTGATAGTAGTGTGTTATACAAATGTTCATAAACACCTACCTGCTCCGTAATTCACTCACCGCCAGCTTCGCCTGCGTACTGAGATTGACACTAGAAGCGCTCGACAGTTCTGAAATAGCTTACTCAAGTCAGCGGTTACTTCACGGTCGTATTTCTTTGCTCTATTTCAGAGTTGGCTTGTTTCAATTTATTGCGAGTTGCCTCATTTACACTTCCCAGGTTGATTTTATTGTTTTTAATCAATAATTGATTAAACCGGTTCCATCAACATGTTTAGGGTGGTTTGCTAAAAAATGGTAACAGGTCAAACAAAACCACTCGAGAATCCGAAAAGTTTTATTTAATGGAAGCCATCTTATGCAATGATAATAATTTTAACTCAGCTCGATTAGCTTTTTAAATCTCCTGAGTAAATTTACTTAACTTTTTTTATTAATATATTATTTTATGTAAGCTACCTTTAATTATTATTTGTTAATAAAGCATATGTTTTGTTGTATCATAAATTCAGCTGGACACCGCTGATTTTGCCTCTCGTTGTTCAACCTTGTTATTAATTAAACTCCTTTAAATTTTGAGCATTCTCAATTCAGTTATCTAGCTAGCTTTTCATGTACAGAAAATGCAATTTTGCGTAGCGCTGTTCTACAATTAAGTCGAGGAATGATCATAGGAAAAGTATCCGTATATGGCTCAACCGATGTCTTCAAAATAAAGGTCTTTCAGTGTTAATATTTGTGAGTGTTAGTGTATCACGAAAATTTTCTCTGATTCAAGATTTTTTTTGTCACCTGTCACCTTTACAATACAGAACTATCCTATTTAGAATACCTTGTTGTTACCAAGAAAGTTCAGAAATGGCTAATTCAATATAAGTCTTACCGAAGAAATTTCTAACCCAGTCTCGCACCCCTTTCAGGAAATATAGGAAAAATAGAAGAGCTGTGAATAGTCAACCTCTATCATTTTTTTTTTTCTTAAGCCTATTCACAGGGTTCCTACCTTTATCGCGTGTGATTTGTGTTTTGTGGCGGGCATTTTGAAGTTTAAATACAAGGTCTGCTAGTACGAGCTCTGGAACTGAAAATTTAAGAAGTCTTGGACGAGCGAGAAAATTCGCGGCAAATTTTCGGGGGATCCCATCGCTCATCTTAGAGCAGGGTCCGAGCGATTTCCGATTTTTGAAACATCTGAGTTGTTTGTCACAGCATCATCGGTTTGTTATTCAGTCAGTGGTCATATATTTGACAGTGTTTTCATAATGTAACTCACGTTATGCTCACTTGGCTAGCTTTCAAGCAAAAAAAAACTGGTGAACCGACCCGTTCCGAAAACGCTCGGCATCCTTTTATGTGAGATGAACGTAGAAGACATGATTACTTCCACACCTTTCTTTCAGTACAAAACAAGGCATTCTACAAACTTTGTTGTTCGCGAAGAGTAAGCACCCGAATAGCAAGTTATGGCAATTCTCTTCCCCAGTTTCCACACTCTCCGCTGGGAACGTCTGGAACCATGAAACCCATTTGTGGCCCAGGAAGAACAGCTTGCACTTTAGACTCGCGATTTCTGTTACAGAAACCCGAATATTTAACTGCGGTAGCGAGTTTTTCCTGCCGAGGTTTTGAGTGTTAGCCCGCATTGTGAGAGTAAAGTGGGAATAGTTCATAGCCCACGCTGCGCTCGGTCGGTCCTGTCACGAACTCGGGCCGATATTCTTGTGCTTGGTTTGTAAGTGGTAAATAATGACTACCCTTAAAGGCTCCATGCCGATCTGAGATAACGCCGAAGAGTGGTTCTATAAATAAACCAGCAGAAATGTCTGCGGAAATGCGTTAGATATATATAAAAGTCCAAGAGAAATACTGAGAAAAAATAAGAATAATCCCTGAAAACTGCAATCCTTACAAGATTGGAATCAGTTCAAATTTATACTTTTAACCCTCTTTCTTGCAAACAAGAAATTAAAAAAATTTTATTGAGTATATTTTATCTCTTCACCTTGCGGCGCAGGTTTGAAAGTCTTTTAATTATGCAAATATTTGAAGTCATAAGCGATATTAGTATCGGATATACATGTAGAATGTCTCGTTAAGTGGTAAGAATCAGGTCAAATTAATACAACAATAGTTAATCCTCATAAATCTTGGGTGCTTCCTGTAGGTTTGTAAATTAGTCATGTGAAAACCCTTTAAAATAATATTGAAATTAAACAGCCAATCAAATTTTGCAAGACGCTTGAGTTCCTGCGCCCAACTTAATGTTTTGTATAACATTTACCCCGTTTTTAGCTGTGCGCCATACCATACATGATTATTCTTCATAGATAAACATTGCATCCGTGGCAATGCCCTTAATATTTTCTCTTGCTTGGATAATTTTGAAGCTCTTACCTGGAACCCTGTCGGCTGAGTAAGTTTATTTAACGCTACAAAATGTATTGCAATATGGAGCTAGCTATAATGAGTTAAGCTTCCCTGGGACGCTTTCAAGCACAGAATACTTATAATGAATTATTGCAATGAGGTAGAATTGAAGTTAAGAAATACTTGAAATCGATGATCGGTTATACAGAGCTTATATTTTGCATGGCTCTACGAAAGTTTAAAATAATATTTTATATACGGCATATATACACAGTAATCTTTCACTAACCAAAGAGAACTACTGAATCAGTCATAATCACAATATTACCACATTTGAAACATGTTTTTTTAATTATTTAAACCTCCAAAGGCCTGAAAAAGAAGGAAAATATGTCATTTCTTGGGATTCTTCATCTGAAAGTTTATCAAGGCTTTAAAGCAATCTGCAGGTTTGCTGCGTTAAAATAATCCACAGATGTGAAAGTCATCCCAACACGTATTTATGTCTCTCAACCCTTGAACTCCGACGCGTCAGTGCCAGTTACATGTTAAACACGGTCAAGTAAAGCTTGTTAAATCGAGTAGAAACTGAAAAGTCATATTATCTCTGTTCAAAAACAGGACATAAATTACATATGGAAAGAGCTTCAAGGCTTCCCTTGGTGTTTTTTCTTCAAACAAAATACAGACTACATTTAGGTTAAATTATGAATTAAATGGTCGAGTGACAATATTTTATTCCTTATATCAAAATCCAGATTTCCCCATCACGTATCTATCACAAATGAATTTAACAAGAAGAAAATAGTTGGATTGAGCACATTTGTAAATTTTCAGCGACGGTCGTATTAATAATATAGCAATTAATCAAAATTGATGCGTATGTTATAAATTTAAGCACCAGTGAGACATATTACAGAATTGTGGCTAACCTTGAAAGCTCTCTGCCATATCATGTGGCTTCATAATATGACCAGTCGAGCTGTCTTGTCAAAATATTTGAAATCTTAACAGACTAAAAACAATTACTACCCACAGTGAAAATGATCATAATATTTGCTCTATTTACTGTAATATATGTACTGTAATATATGTTTGATTGTCGATTCTCAACGGTCATGCTCTTAACGTTCTCAATAATATATTAAGTTGCATTGTATTTCCAATTAATTTTTGCGAAAGTATAAAGTACAATTTAATTGCCAATTTCAGATACAGTGAAACTGCAAAACAACTTTACGACATAACAAATCCTGTAAAGTATGAGAAGTATCTTCGGCCTTACCACAAAGGTGAGATGGCTGTGTCTTCATGTTGCCACGCTGTTACGTAATTTACCGTAATCCTATAAAGTATAATCGTTTATATGCTGACAGATGGCCCAGTGACTGTTGAAGTTCGAGTAACGGTGGTACACTTTGTTGCAGTGAGAGAGATGAGTGAAGTAAGGAACAATAAATTTTGTTGTTATTTTACGTTTGCTCCTTCAGTGAAATTTCAGATAAAAGGTACAGCATAGTTACAGTAGTTAGTTTTATAGGATCAACAACAACAACGAGAGGAATTCTGGGATTATAGGGCATGAAATACCGATTCCATTTTACCTGGAATGAGGAATTTGTTCTCTTACTTACAAGGCTAGATTTTATTTCACTGACAATTCACTATCGCCTTTCCCTTTACAGCCGTCCTCCAAATCGTAAAGCTCAGCAATGTATAGTAAAGCCTTCATATGGCCCATCAAAAATAACAATTATCGATGTAAAAATGAAGCAATACGGCCGTCCACGATAACAGCATTTATTTGTAGCAAACGGAGACGACAACAAAATGAAAAGGAAAATTGCAATATCAGTTGACATCTTTAAATTGGGTACTTCAGTAGTAGCCCAAACACCTAAACTGATTAGCTATACATGTTCGTGGGCAACTAATCAAATGTCCATATGCATGACTCAATTCGTTACCATGATATAATGACGACAGTTTTGTCTCTGCAGAAATTCTTTCAAATAGACTTTTGTTGCTTGTTTTCTTTTTTGTGATATTCTAACTTGTACAGGATTTCATGTCTTTTCTAATACAAGTATGACAAGTATTCTAGACGTCTATTCATCATAACTTTTAGGAGTTCTCATTGGACCTAGTCATCTGGCAACTCTGGAAGGATCCGCGGCTGAACCATTCTTTAAATTATCCAATCACATTACCTGGTGACGCAAAGAAGCTGATATGGCTTCCTGATACGTTTTTTCTTAACGTCAGGAGTGCTACTATCCATGATGTAATCGCAGAAAACAGTAAAATTGTCATAAATTCGGATGGAATTGTCGCCTACAGCACAAGGTAAGATACGTTTTCTAAAACACTAAAAATTTCCCTCCGTTCCTTTTATTTCGTTTGATTTCATTTCATTTCATCGGCAATCGACTATAAATAGGGAAACCTTTTCCATGATAGTCCCTAGCTCAAAGGGCCATTAGAGACTTAGTTACCCACTTAACGATGGCTCTGAAGTCGAGCGGAATATTGGATCAGATCGAGACACGATGGTCTAAAAGTAGATGTAACTACAAAGACAAAGTTGTGGTAAGTGGAAATTGGAAATTCGTAAACTCTTTTGAAAATGAACTTTCCCTCTTGTGCATTTATTTGTTTCTTGTTTATTTACTCCCTCAACATGCCAGCTCTCCTTGTAACAAATTCTCGCTCACGCAGTCTGCAGTAGGACAACTAGATTTCCCTTAAATTGAGCACTAGAAACTATGAACCTAACGGAAGAAACCTTGATTTCAATTTGAAGTCTGCAAGAAGAGATTCGATGTTGTTCTGTATTCCCCGCGGTATCTTCAGCTCAGCTATTTCTAAATCAAGTAAATAAACGAAGGCGCTAAGGATCTGAGGATTCCGATTTTCCCAAAACTAACTTTTACAGACTAACCATTACTGCCGGATGTGCAATGGATTTGGCTGACTACCCACTAGATGAACAAACCTGTGACTTGGAGTTATCAACCTGTTAAGTATTGAATTCAAATTTTTAGGGCACTTCTCTCTCCTCTTCTTTACTATCCTCATACATTTCTATCCTGAATTCGAAGTTACTGTGTTGTGATTTCGAACACACATTCTTCCTCAGACGCATATACTGCTGACGAGCTGGACTACAAATGGTTCGAAAGTAATCACCACATAGATGTCAAGGATGAACATTTGGCAGAGCTTACTCTCACAAACACGGAAGCCATTAAAGATGTTGAGACTTATGCAGACGGTGGGTCATAAATATTTGATTTGTTTTTTGTCAACTAAAGGTGTAAAAATATCTGAAACTTTTAACTCTCATCAAAGCTACCGTAAAAAGATTTAGGAAGACTTCATAAATGTATATACCTTTGATCTAAAAAAGCAAAAACCAAACTACAATCAGCATATAATTGGTTATTGTTCTTACTGTCTTAGGTACCCACTCTAAACTTGTCGCTCGCTTCTGGTTCAAGCGCCGTCTTGGATATGCTTTCCTTCAAATATACATCCCCACCATCATGCTGGTGGTCCTTTCTTGGCTGTCTTTCTGGATCCCCAAAGACTCTGTTCCAGCCCGAGTGTCACTCGGAAGCACTACTGTGCTATCAATTGTAACATTCACTGGCTCGTTCAGGAGCTCTCTGCCAAAGGTCTGTTCTAAATCAAAGAGCTACTTTACGAGCAACGAATGTGAGACTTACATGTGCGTACTTATGTACTCGTGCAAAACAGTCTCTTAGGATGCAAATTTCCGTAGAATAATGTCATTTATGATGCAATACTGACACTGAGAACTACATTTTATGATATGCAGTAAGCATGGGCCATGAACTCTTCAACTTCAGCTTCCTTTTTGTAGAAAAATAGGAATTTATGCTGCATGCAGAAAAGCTCAGCGGGTAAAATATAACAAGGAATGGCGTTGTTTATACACCTGCAGAAGCTACCTTCTTCTAACTTGTCGATCCTTCATAACATTATTCATTCCCTGGTAGAACAAACTGAAAACCATGCTTTTTTCTCGTACTATAATCATAATTCTCCCAGTGACACAAATATAGGACTAAATAAACCTATTTTATCTTGGAGATTTTGTACTTTTACTTTTGGATTGATGAAAACGGTGCATGTTGATGAAAATTTCACTCTGCTAAAACGTTGGGTTTTTTGCCAAAGTAACCGGCAAAAAAATTCAAAGGAATGTCAGTATTTATCCTTACCCTCTAGTCTTCCTTTTTTGTGCTCGGCTACTTTTTTTCAATCGCTTAAAGTGATTTTTAGGACTTAAAGAGTTTTGAAACCAAAGTGTGTAGCTCACTTGGTTTAAAGTAATTCATCTTTCATTAACATCGTTTACATAAATCTACAACCATATTCAACATGTGAATTACATGTACATTTGGCAAAGTTTTTAATTCCACTGAATAAGACCAGAAGTTTGGTAAGAAATACTTCTATACAAAATTGTCATCGACGAAGCTCTAGTTTAACTTTCAATGGCTATGACGAATGCCGTTGTGCAAAACCTAGTCCAAGCTATCTATGGCACTGTATGGCGCAAAAGTACATGTAGAACTGACTTAATCTGTTGGTACTTTTGATCTTACAGGTTTCCTATGTAAAAGCAGTGGATATCTATTTTATTGTATCCTTTGCTTTCATTTTTGCTGCGACCATTGAGTATGTCCTGGTCTTGCTTAACACTGGGCTAAAGCGTCATTTGTCAAGCAGTAACGAAGACGTAAGACACAACGAAAAGGTGAAAATTTCTTGCTCATTTTGATTAACATAAAATGCTTTACATTTGCCGCTGTGAGACAATATTTCCAACTTCGTGATAGGTGGTGTTACTTTTAATTACTGTTAAAATATAAAATATTTAAATATGTTTACATCGTCCACGTATTAACTAAAGTGTATGGTAATAGGTTTAAGGTGGCTCAAAACAGTTTCGAGCACTTTTCAAGACGCAGATTTTGATGGATCAATATCACTCTTTATCAGTTGTTGCTGCAGTCATGGTATCAAAAAACTACCCAATCAGTAGTGAGCACGTCGTCATAATTTTCCTGGCACAATAGGTTATCATTGTAACGATATGACCCGCAAAACAAAAACAAAAAACCCATCCTTTTACTTATATTTCAAAAACGGCACGGTGAAACTCTTTTTTCATATATAATCGAAATTTGATAGGCAGGATGAGATACAACTTTTGGCAAAGTTTAAAAAATTCTGAAGATTGGGTTCAGATAGAGCTACCTGAAATTTTCGAAAATTTAAGGTGGCTCTGAACCCCATGAATACATCAGTCTTTCTCTCGCAAATGTTTATAGCATTGAGTTCATTCAGTTCAGTTCAGTTTGCAAGCTATAAAGTCCTTCCAAAATTTGTTTCTCATATTGTTTTGATTGTTTTAATCCCAGGAAAAAGAGCATCGCCCAACTGAAGAAGTAAAAGAGGTTGGAGAGGAGACTGGAAACAAGCCAAATAAAGGCCGAAGCAGTTCGATGCAAACAGCTAAAACATACTTGCAGTACGTCTTAATCAATAATGAAGCCAGTTTTATCGATAAAGTGTGCCGCTTCCTTTTTCCGTGTTGCTACGTCATTTTCAACTTGATTTACTGGACCTATTTCGAGTTGGCATCATTTGGAAAACACCCTCCCGACGAGTAAACACCAAGTGAGAAGGTTCTTCGGGAAAGAGTTAACCCTTAATTATAGACCGAATGAAAGGGTGACCCACAACAGTGGTCTTGTACTTTACCACTCCTGATTTACCAGTAACTGGTCTATATGTGCGAATGGAAATGACGGTTTTTTTTGTTTTGTTTTGTTTTTTTTATCATTTAGCAACTACAACGAAAACCATGGCTCCTGAGCTAAGTGAAAAAATTTTACATTTTTGTCGGCTCGACGAAATATATTCAAGTTTCTGTTAGTTGTGATGAAACTAGGGAGTCTATTATGTGGCAAAACGTTATCTCAAGTGAGTTGTTTCACGAGCACTCCGTCTTATTTGCTTGACGGAAGGAGAAAAAGAACACAAACAGCAAACTAAAAAAATAAAAACAAAAATAAAAACAAGGTTTTTTCGATATCAACTCAAAATTGAGAATCACTGAAAGCGTTAGTAAAGGCCACAAATAAAACAAGGGTTTACATGTACCTGTTTGTTTATTTGTTTGGTTGTTTGTTTGTTCTTACTGCTTGTTCTTGAAGTAAGAGAAAAGTAGAACACGCCATCTGACGCGAGATGGTCAAGAACCCAGTTCCCGCCTAGTAAAACTGTAGCGTTTTTCCAGCGATGTTTTACCATGCGTTTGTTTCCGTGACCGAAAGAAACTGGTAACGAAAGAGAATCCAATATGGTGGAAGCACTCTCTTTTGAGCGGATTTATATCAACATATCTTGACACCAAAGCTACGACAAAGACGCTGTTTATGTTGTCACTAGTGCTTTAAACGAGGTTTACTTCTTCTAGTCGGATTTAGGATGAAATAGCTACAGCCGGCTATAAAATACTGATCTTGGGACCACAGCTTGACAATGCCTTGTTAATGCAACACTCCTACCAAAGGTAAGCTGAAGCATAAAATCTGCTTTTTAGTGAAGCGGTCTTTTATTACTTGACTTTACCTAAGCAAGCATTTAACTTGGTCGAATGAAATACTCCCAAGCCGTGGGTTGCGATTTCGGCGGGTCTAAAACACAGGTCACGGGTCATTGTTTTACCAATACTGGAACAGCTCTAACCCCTTCCTAATGCTAACCTTAGGCCTAAGTATTACACTAAGACAATCTTTTAGGCCTAAATACTACCCTAAGAAAAGGTTTAAGGTTGTTCCAGTATTGGTAAAACAATGACCCGTGACCTGTGTTTTAGACCCGCCATTGCGGTTTTGCGCCCAAGGGCGCAAAGTCCAAATTCTTCAGCGAATCATGCTTTGAACAGAACCATCGGAGAGACTGGTATACAAAAGTGAATTCCAGCCCCTTGAAAAATCCTTTTGAAAAACGCCAGAGAAATCGAAAGGCGCTAGAAGATACTAAAATTCTTGACTTAAACAAACATAGACTGCAAGTAATTTGTATTTATGATTTTACACGTGGAAGCTTTTCCACGGGGACTTAGTAGAAGCGTTGAACCTTGATAAAGTGAAAATAAATTCCCCCGTATATAACGATTATTTCTGTGATTACTACCTTTTGTGCAAAATAACAATTTTTCTCGCATTAATACAGGAGGCAGATGCGCCACGTTAAGCCTCACTCAGGTCAATGATTGCTTTGCTTGTGATATTTGTCACAGCACTGTCACAGCATTGATGCTGACGCGGAGCATATCTTTTATTAAAGCCAATTGTCAGCTAGTCATTTTTCATTTCACTATAGCACATGCTTAATTCAACCAACGAGAGCCACCGAAAAGTTGCCCTCCAAATTGCGCTCTTCACAGAATCATATTTTACCTCTAAATAGTTCCTGGCTATAGTGACAAAGCTAGCCCGTAGAGACACTTTACATAAATGACGCCTATATTTGAAAAACAATTTATGTGAAAAAGATTTTGGCTGGTAACATAACACGAGGCTTATTATGTATAAAGCATTGTCATTCAAATTTAGGCGCCATTTATCTAAAATGTTTACATTTTGACCACTGTGATGACGCGTATCGTTGTCGATAAGAGTGCAGACCACGCTAAACCACATTCGATTTGTTATCTCGACCCAAGCGCGATATTTATCGAGCCAAAGTACGACTAGCAGTTTGTAAAAAAAGGTATCTAAATTAACCCATCCTGTGGCGTCGACACTGAAAATATCATACGACTGCGCGCGATTGATGACAAAAAAGTAATAATAAAGGCAGCCAAATCTTAAATTTTGTTTTAAAGGATTACGTTAGGCTCAATTTCCGCAGCTCTCTCGGGTCCGGTAGCGTTCCATCCCCGTGTTTCTTTCCCCAACGGAAGCTGGCAATCGAGAAAAGATTTTTCCACTTGCTTCCAATGATGAATGAAGCGTAGGCACACACTGTGCTACGCCGAAATATAACAAACATACGGCGCAGGATATTTTCATGCTTGCTGATTTGTTTTGTTTTTCTCTGTTGCCATTGTGTTTTTATTGTTCATTTTGTAGTTGTAAGTATAAACTACGTTTACTTAAAAATGCAAACAGCCACGGAATTTTTTATAAGAATATGAAGCTGAATTATGTTCTCGTTCGCTGCAGATCAATATCGTTGTGTTTGGTTACAGTATTTGTTCGGTAAGGAAAATAATTGCTTTCGAATGACAAATGTTTTGAGGAAACTGAGGAGAAAATTAAAGACATAGACACGACTGCCCTGTAATTTCGTATTGCACAGAACTCGAGTCGATAAGTATAGATAGGAGAAGGTCGCTTTTATGCAAATCAGTATATTTGCGGACGCGTGTGGTGGTTTTATTAACCAGCAGAAATGACATTGTCAATGTACTGGTGGCAAATCAGCCAATAGAAATCGTCAAAACAACCTAGTGCATAGAAACACGCAGAGAAAATGTTGCTTTAATTTGCATTTATCAATGCTTTGCTGATCCTTTTGGAGCTAGTATCTGATGTCAAAAAATGGTCGATGTCAGTTTTTCTTTTCCTTTAATCATTTTGGCGCTCCTGCCTAAAACACTTGTGGCTGGGTAAGTTCATTTAAAGCAACAAATATACAAGTATTCATGGAAAGCGGAGTTCAAAACCGTTATAGTCTCAATTGCGAGTAAGGTTTTCCAGGGATGAATACATCACATATACGTCGACAAATTATAAGATAATTTTGCTAAAATAGATATGTTATTAGCAATAGTAATACGTTTTGCTGCGAAACGCGAAGAACATAAATTATATAGGTGCTGAAGTATTCGAGAAGCTTGCATCTCGGGGTCAATTTTAGCAATTAAATGTGGGCACGAACTCACAATAAGATCATTTAGTATACAGATCTTCGTCCATATCGTGGCCGACATAGGCCGGGTATCATCTTCCGCCGTGTAATTTTCACAATTGGCATACAGTTTGTCAAAGTACTTGTTATTTATTTATCCTTATGCGGGTTTCATTACTTTCGTTTGGATCAATCTTTTCAAAAACTGTTGATGAAACCTGTGAAGTGTTTCATATGGTTATTCACATCAGATGTAGCAAAACTTCAAAGTTCTTCATCGGTCTTGGAAAATGTAAAATCGTTTCTTCGAAACTTCTGCTGTGTATCAAACTGAAATAACAGTGTTTTCTGTTTCTCCAAAATATCTTCCCAGGAAATTCATGTTTCCTGTTGAATTTTCAGACTTCCAAAAGAAAAAAATAGGCTACGTGGCTCAATCGAAAAGGTGTTAGTGGTTGACGCTAACTTACTCACTATCACCTGCAACCTCATTGAATTGGAAAATGAATTTTAAAAACACTGTCACGAAATTCAGATAGATAAATAGATAAAACAAGGCTACCAACAAAGACGTAGTGCAACGGTGTGAAAGCACCTTTTTACTGGCCACAGGCCGCTTAATCAAGAGGAACACAAAACAAGGAAACATCTTATTGTAATTCTTAAAAACTGTTTCTCTATTGTAATTTGCGTGAGTTTTTTAATTTGTCGTCATATCGATACCACCTGCCGATCCGTTGACGAAAGAAATGCTTTATCCGGGTTAATGTAGCTTAGGGATTAACTAAAACTGTTGCGTAAATAATAATAGTGACCTAGGCATCTATCAATATGCGTCATGTATAAGACCATCCTGGTTTGTACTTGCCGTACCAGGTTTAATAACTAAAACCTACAAAATGGCGGCTCTTGAATATTTATTACGAAATGATAGCGATCGATTTGCAAATGTATTAAAGCAAAACCCATTTCCTTTCGTTTCTATCCCTATTTAAAAAAGAATTTTCGGAAATTAACAACGCGTCCGCACATGGATTATTTTCAATCTGCGGTTTGGTAAAACGTATTGGTGCCTTAAGCTCTGCTGCGTAGTTTTGTCAGATTATCGAAGAGTGGCAGTACTTGTAGTTCTTTATTTTTCAAAGGCATCAAAGAGATTACACGGGCTAAACAAATAAGCGTGCTTTGTGCAATAAAATACAGATCTGAATTCTAGTATGGTACTCAATAAATCATCTGATTCGGTAATGTTAGTGAACAAACGTATAGTCAATGAAAAGTTTCCATTTTTTGCAGCAAAGTCCTTGAAGTTTATTTACAGCTCCTAATGTAAATTTGGTCATTATCGCGGGATTATATTTTTTTTTTCTGTGACGTTGCCTAAAAATTTTGTTGGTTGAGCCTGGTCCGCACAAGGAAAAAAGTAAAACCTTGCAAAGTGGTCAATTTGTTGGTGCAATAATAGGGGAACGTTTTCTACACTCTTTGCTTCATTAGCATCAGGGCTGCAGCTTTCCGATCGAGCTAAAGAAAAAAATCAACAGTAAATATTTGAATGCATTGAACGATTAACTTCAATAGCTCATCAGCGCTTTTGTCACCAAGAAATTTTGCATTCTTTGAAAGGTGATGTATAACATTCAAAAACTAAAAAATTCACTAATTACTAACATTTACAAACTCTTCAAGTGATTAGAGTCAATTTGCATCTAGCAAGATCGGCAAACTGATGGGGCAAAAAGTGAACAAACACTATCCCAACGTTACTTTTTTTAACCTGGAGTAAGAAAAAGTTCACACACTTGTGAAACCTTTAAAAAGTGTTCCAGCAATACTCAGTCACGCGATAAAAATAAATCAACTAACCTAAATCCAAGGTCGGAAAACAAATAAATAATTGAGCAGGAAATGTCAGGCCTGTCAAAATGTCCACTTTTACATATTAACGTGTTTCCAAAAACATTTTCTATCACTTTTCATCAATAGTGCCTTGACTTATAAGCGTTGAAAGCTGTGTCCCAATCAACCTATATATAATATTAGTGTGTATTATTGCTTATCATATAAGTAAACAGCATTCCTCTTTTCAGATACAAAGAAACTGCAGATGAACTCCAACAAATAACAAATCCTGAAAAGTACCACAAGTATTTACGACCTTATCACAAAGGTGCAAAGACACGTCGAGTGTTGCTGGTTATGTAACATAGTGTTTTGTTTCCACGTAAAAATATAATTTTTTGTGTTTAAAGGCATTCCGGTTAATGTGACTGTTGGAGTGACCGTGATACACTTTGTAGCGGTAAGAGAGATGAGCGAGGTAAGAACGACTTACGTGGTGAATTTGATACATTTGCTCTGCTTCTTATAAAAAGTAACTAACAACAAAGCGCGCAATTTCTTGAAATTTTTACGTCATAAAATGAAGCAGATAAGCTGAAAATGTGAAGATCAAAGAATTAAAACTGATAGGGCGCCTTTTATTTGAGTGACGAAGCATTATTGGTTTTGTATTTTTAGCTACACGACTGGTTTAAAAAAACTCGCGCCAATTTCTCATACAATCATAAGCAGTACAAAAACCAATTGTGACTCGCCTGCTAGCTCCCACGTTTTGCGTCATTTCAAGTAATTTTGATTGGTTTATTGCATTGTTTGTGTCCTTTTTATTGGTCAGACTGACTACTTTAGTTTAGCTTTCATGACAGTCCAATGAAAACCACTCTGTGTAGTGCACGATTTGTAATAGGAAAACAAAAAAGGCTACTAAATCCCCTACGGCAATACGGGCATAATTCTACTACTCACAAACAAGAGAGAAAAAAAACAAAGTACTTTTAAAATAAACGTTGAAGATAATCATTAGCAGTTTCGGTCCATATCATCTCGACTCATCAGCACATCGCTTTTGGTGCTGGAAGGATACCACAAAAGACAAATTGAGGAACTGAGGAAATAGAAGTATCGTTGTTATAAACTGGAACATTGGATGATACAAATTAAGAGTTTTCATTGGCTTAGCTATCATGGTATATGAGCCATATGCCATGCTCTAAAAATATGGTAAGTGCACGAGTAATTTTTGGGGGCGTTTTAATTTTTAGTTTAGTTTAGTGTTCTATATTTGGTGGACGTTTTTAATAAAACAGTTACCGTGTTTTCGACTTATTTCAAAAGGAATTTTCATTGGACCTGGTCATCCGGCAACAATGGAAGGATGCACGGTTAAACCATTCTTTGAATTATACATTAACATTGCCTGCCAACTCCAAGAAGCTGATATGGCTTCCGGATACGTTTTTTCTCAACGTCAGAAGTGCTACCATCCATGATGTCATTTCCGAAAACGGTAAAGTTTCTATAAACCCTGGAGGACTTGTTTCTTATAGTGCAAGGTACGTCTAACGTAAAGCAAATACAACATTCAAACTACGCAAACACCTAGACCAATAAACCTCTATGGATTAGGTTTCTCGGTCGACTCTGATACGCGTTGGTAAATGTCGTGCTTCTGATCTGGCGTTTTTTTTTTTTTTCAGTTTATTGACAATTAACTTACGACTGACTGGTAATGGATCAGATCTCGTAATCTGCCTCAATCTTAGCGACTTGTTCCCCTTTGGCATTAATTAATTTAAGAATTTCTTACACCATGGTCTGAAGTAAAAAGCAATTAAGTTTAAGAGTCAAAATTCAACGGTATTATTACATTCGGACAACCTTGCCATCAGCACTTTAAGGATTTGAATTGAAAACTGTTAAAAATTATAACCAATTTATACATGTACATCGGTATGAAATACTTTTAAAAACATTATATTTTCAGGATAACCATTACTGCCGGCTGTCCGATGGATTTGTCTGATTACCCAATAGATGAGCAAACCTGTGACTTGGAGTTATCGAGCTGTTAAGTATTGAGCAAGAATATTATCGGAAACATTTTCAGTTCAAGTACATCTTTTTCATGTGACGTGTAAAACTTTTGAATCTAACCCTTTGATCGATCAATGCTGTTCTTTTGTATATATTTCCAGACATCTGAAAATTAAATCACAAAACAGTCCTAAGAAAATACGCGCGCTGATTGGTTGAAAATCATGTCTCTATAACTCGATAGAAACACAGAACTAGCACGAGCTGTTGACGTAATGATGGTGCGAGCAAAGAGAGTTTACATTTTGATAATCAAAGTTAACGAGTTGTTTTCCTTTTTTTCGTCGCGGTGTTTCTAAAAGAAATAGAAAACATGTTCTCCGTGTTTCTATCGAGTTATAGAAAGAACTCGAAAAAGCTGTGGAAACACTCACCTGCGGCTCGTGTTCCCACATCATTTCTCGTTCTCCCAAACTTCCTCTCATGTTTCTATAAGTCGATAGAACCACGGTACATGTTTTCTGTTTCTTAAATAGAAACTGCATCAACGTGTTTCTCAAATATCACAAGCGTGGAAACTCAGACATTGTAAGGAAAAGCTGATTTGCTTTCAGAGTACACATTAACTGAACGAAGAGAGCGTACCAGTTAGGCTCAACGGGACGCATAAAGGGGAAAAATATGATTTTCCATATATATGCTGCTGATATAAAGGACAATATGAGCCTGCAACTGGAGGCAAATTATTCCTTTCCAATCCCTTCTCTTCATAGCTCAGCGCGATGTCAAGATTTGAATTTTCGAACATTTATGTCTTACTTTTGATGGAACTTACTATTTGGTGTTCAAAATGAAGGCATGACAGACAAACCCGTGTGGTTACCTTCTGATCTACATCATATGTATATTCTGAAACCTTTGAAATAATAATGCTGCTTTATTTTTCACTCAATTTTTTAACGTTTGTTCTCAGACGCATATACGGAAAATGAGCTCGATTACAATTGGGCGGTGGGCAGTGGAGATGACATAGTCGTCAAGGACAAAAACTTGGCAGAACTCGCTCTTACTCAAGCAAAAGCCATCAAAGACTGTGAATATTATGCCGACGGTACGTAAAATGAAATCATGTGAAAGTCTCGGAATTTTAGATTGACAACCCCAGTACTTTTAGCGGGTACCTCTATAGCTAAAAGACGCTAACACCTTTATCAGTATTCACTTAAGTTTCGTTTTAACCTCCATCAAAATAAATCTTAAACTGACTATCATTCATATAACCAGGTTATGTATAGTCGAACAGTGTTATATATTCGGATGAAGCTATTATTACTATGTGTAACCTTAAAAACTTTGTACCTTCACCTATCCCAGGTACCCACTCAAAACTTGTTGCTCGTTTCTGGTTCAAGCGCCGTCTTGGATACGCTTTCCTTCAAATATACATCCCCACCATAATGCTGGTGGTCCTTTCTTGGCTGTCATTTTGGATCCCTGAAGACTCTGTTCCAGCCCGAGTGGCACTCGGAAGCACTACTGTGCTATCAGTTGTAACATTTACCGGTTCCTTTAGGAGCTCTTTGCCGAAGGTATGGCGTAAAACAGCTATTTTATACAGGCTACAAGATAGTCGAGTGAGGGATTCCATAAGAATTCATTTCGTTTTTTCTTTGTCTGTTTGCTTTTTTGTTTGTTTGTTTTCTTTTGTGTTCTTTTTTTTTTTTAAAAAAAAATCTCTTTTTTTTTACATTCATTTACAGTGAACCAAAGATCTACTGAAAGTCCACTAAACTATAAGATTTGTAGTGTATAAAACAGAGTTACCAAACCTGAAAAAAGCTCGATTAAAAAAAATATATCAGACTGCTTCAAGTAACAAAGAATTTAGACCATAGGTCTTACACACAGCTAGACGTGTTTTTAAGAACTTTTTTTCATACAGTGACGGCGATGTATTGCTGTCATGTAATTTTCCTAATGAGTCTTTTTGATACATCTTTGCAGCGCATTTTGGCCATGACTTTTATTTCACGTGACCGTCTTGATGTGCCTCAAGGTGCGGTTGCGAAGCAAAACACAGTCCGCCATATTAACTTTTATTTTCTCAACTCCTAAAGAAGGTCAGCAAACTTGCCGATTTTAAAATCAATTTCATTTAATCTCGGAAAGAACTCCGAAGCCAGAGCAACTTTTAAACTGGACAAAATAAAATGCTCATCGCTGAAAGAAAATTTCATACGCTAAACTCACATGTTGTGGTGTTTAATCTTCCAGGTATCGTACATAAAGGCGGTGGATGTCTACTTTATTGCCTCGTTTACATTCGTCTTCGCAGCAGTCGTGGAGTATGTTTCAGTACTCCTAAACACGGGATTAAATCGCCAAAGAAGTAACAGTGGGCTTTACTCAAGCAGGAACCACGTTGATGTGGGAAACAGAAAGGTAAATGTGCGCTGATGTAGATTAATTTATACTGAAACTCACTGCTTTATCCAACAACCTCACCAATTCCTTCAGCCAGGAATTTGAGCCGTAATCACTTGATCCTTAAAAGTATGAAAATATCGTTGACTACTTGTTGATATTTTAAACCGTATACACTGCATGTCGTTCATCATTTTGTCTCAGTCTGGTTTTACCGGAAGTTAACTAGTTTGTTTTCTTCTCCGGCTTTTTTAAATAGCAGACAAATGAGTATAAAGAAGAGGGAGAGTTACATGAGGTTAAAGTGGAGAGCCCTGCTTCTGAAAATGTAGATTTAAAGAAACACCGAAGCGTTTCGGCGAGGACCGCGAAAGAATACATGCAATACGCTTTCGTCAGAAATGAAGCCAGCTCCATAGATAGAGTGAGTCGTGTCCTTTTTCCTTGTTGTTACGCCATCTTCAATTTGATTTACTGGATATACTACGAATTGGCGTCATTCGGAAATCATTCGCCTGCCTGATGTGCAATGAGCTGGTATCAAAACATATGATAAGTGACATAACTTAACATACATTCGTAACAATATTTAAGTATGAACTTTTAACAGTTGAAAGTATAAACTTTTTACAGTTGTAGCAATTCAAAGAATAACTAATTTTCTGTATAAAAGAGTAAATTGTTAACTAAGAAACGAACGATGCCAAGCATCAACAACAAAGACAACATGTCATCTCAGCTGTTAAATTGTTAAAATTTAGTTGGAATAGAAGAAAGGTTGGTCAAGCAGGGTTGCCACGGTCAGGGAAAAGTCAGGGAAAATTAGATTTTATCATCAAGGTCGGGGAAAAGTCAGGGAGTTTTGTATCAGGTCAGGGAATTTCTAAATCCCTTCTCAAAGTCATTGAAAAGTCAGGGAATTTTATCTTAAGTTTGCCACAAACTATATGTTTTCGTATACACAAGGCAATTTTAGTTTAGAAATTGTCTTAGCCATCCTTATTTTTGTTGATTCATGGCCAAAATAATCATCCTGCAGGACCAGTGAAAATTGCTTTACAGTCAGCGAAAAGTCAGTGGAAATTCATGGCTATTTTTTTTTTCCGGTAAGTGGCAACCCTGTTAAGAAGCTACCATGCGGAAAGACTGAAATTGATTAATTAAAAATTAAATTAGATATTTATTTGATAATAAAAGATTTCGTAAAGCACTTTAGAATGAAAATTAGCGATATGAAAAGTGAACGACGTTTCGATGACTCCATGTCATCATTATCAAGTTCGAAATACGTGATAGAATTGAATAAATATAAATAGTAGAAATGATGTAAAAAAATATTTAGGGAATTAAATTAAATTTCTTTATTTGTATTGAATAAGCAGGTAACTTCAAAAATTTAGGCAGCTTTACTCCATGAGTGCATGCCTGGTGCTTGTAGCTCATCAGGGGCGTGATTTCGTTAATACGCATGCCTAGGTAAGGACTGTGTTTTAATGACGGGAAAATGAACTTGTTTCAAGAAAGAACCGCTTCCTAATTCTCGATCATAAAACTGATAATGTAAGTGGAAAGAGCTCGCTGAGTACTAAGATTTGTAATGTAGTTGCCCGTCAAGTATCGGGACAATAGAAGCATCGTCAAAACTATGTCAACGTTTTATGCCAACTATGTGTGACAACCTGAATCACTCTGAGCAATTCCAAGCTAAATTATAAGGAATATCTGTCTATAAAGAACTAGATAAAAATAAATAGATGAATAAATGAAAATTATAAATCTGAATCCTCTATGCCTTGAAGTGAGCAAAACAAATCTCCCATTCCTGAAAACGTATTAGAGCAAAGATACCTCGTTTCCGAGGGAAAGGAATCATGAGCTCACCTATACTCTAATTCGTCTAAATGTGTGGTAAACACAATCAATATGCTTGCATAAATATCAAAAATTTATCGATCAAAGCTAACGCTTTCTGTCCGAAAATTCGCATAAGTCCAGCAAACTGGCCACAGGACGGACATGTGGTGGGCAAATGAACTCTCTTGATATGATCACGAACGGATTATTGAAACTGATGAAATTATTAATAATGCACGAAATTGAGAGAACATCCACTAGATAGTACACCGCTTATAATATAATGACTAAAATAATGATAATAATGATACAATCCGCTGACGAGCTGACGATGATTATGATACTGAAGGACCGTTCAATTTCATATAACTTTCGTGATATAATTCATTGATTCTACAACCTCATTTTCCTATTTGAGTTCCCGTGTGAAATCATTACAGTTGCGTTCGGAAAAGAAAGTGGAATATTTTCGCTTTTTAATATATTACTTCAATCTGATTAATACCAGTTTCATCGTTAACTAGAAACACTCCATGACTCAGGAGACCAAGTTGTTCGGGACGAATAGCTTTCGACTGTTAAAAGAAGACTTGGGTGAGTTTGGCCGTCTATGTTAGAAGACAACGCCAACTCCATCACATCTCTATTTCGCAGACAGAAGTCTCCTTGATGCTTCTGACAGCAAAATGGTTGTGGCACAGACCCGAAAGGTTACTAAAACGTCCCGAAAGGGAAAAACGCCTGCTGAAAAACGTTCAAGTAAACAGGCTGGAGAGAAATCCTGAAATAAACAGTCCGCCAAAACATAGCGAACGGGCAATGTGACGAGTCGAGATACCATGACATACTATATCAAATGATATTCAACAACGGACAGTTTAGAATCTGCCGGTTCTCTTACTCTTATAACACCAATGGTTAACTGAGATTGAATCGGCTTACGAAAAATAAATCAAAGTTTAGACCGCGAAAGCGATGAAGCCAATGCGAGTGAAGCCGAACTCGAATCGAAAGAAACTTCGGACACACTAGAAGGGCTTCCAAAGAAAACAAGCGAAGGAAGAATCCGGCGTTTTGTTCTCTCTACATCTATGTAATGATGAAAAGGCAAAATTCCAATCAAACTTAATCACCTCGTAAGTCAGGCTTGTTTATTTTTTAACTTGATAATATTTTTCTCATTATAGCACATTATACATGTTCTCTTCATTTTCTGCCGCTACTGCTTGCTGCTGTTGTTATTGTGGTTGTGGCCTCTTGGCGGTTTCTTTTTTTTTCTTAATTTAATCTTTAAATTTATCTTGTTTCTTAATTTATCTTGTTTCTTAATTTATCTTGTTTCTTAATTCGACTGATTCACAATTAATGTTTACTGACTCGATAGAGTTAAATCTGATATTAGGCACCCAATTCTTCTGCGCATCCAACATAGAATAGATATGTACGTCGTTAAAACTGAGTATGGTGGCGATTCCAAGGCGATGAGGACTAATAGTCTTTATATCGGAAATAATAACCAATGTTAAACATGAAGAAACTCAACGGGAAAAGGATTCGGGCAATTCTGTCAAAGATGTCAACTTCACTATTGGACCCAAGTGCAAGGCAGAAACTGGGAATGCACTGTATGATGGTTGTTCTCGGCGGATTGGTCGTGTAAGGGCTGTGTTGAATAGCTGGACCAGGAACGCTCTAAAATGAAATGAAATGAAATGAGAAAAATGTATTGCATGAGGATTATAAATCTGACAAACGTAACACAGACATGAGAATAGAATAAGGCAAGGTAAGCTACTTTACTTTTAAATATTAACTTTGGGCCGTAAGGTTTCCAAATGAATTTTGTAAAAAAGAAAATAAACTTTTGCTCAAGTTTGAGTAGATCAATGTAATTATTGAGGTGCTCATCTCTGTGGCTGAGAACCTAAGAATTAGGAACCTAACAATACAACAGACGTCGTCACTTTACATATTTTCTTCATATCATCAAAATTATTTAGCTTTTATTATACTGTAAAAAAAAAACGCCAATCTTTTTGTATTATGTGAGAATCACTCATTCTCTACACGTAGTCACCGAACAGTAGGTGTTTTTACTGTAGTTACTGTACTACGTCAATAAATGCTGCCCCTTAGCAGAATATGTTACCATTCCAACTGATTACTTCTCACCTGTCTCGGATAAGAATTTCGCAGGACAGATTTCGGTGGTAAACTATATGATGATGGTGGTCGTGGTGGTAGACTATGCGTTGATTGTGGTCGTGGTGGTAAACTGTGAGTTGATCTTGTGCGGGGTACTACTGAAGATTTTGTAGCATTGAAAGTTTCTATCTCCATTTCAGCTAAAGAGTAATCTCTTGATTGTGAACTACGCTTTTTAGCCTTCTTTGTTTTCTTTTCACTGTGCATGAGAACTGCTACGTATTCAAGGAGGACACCAAACACAAAGATGAAGGAGACAATGAGATAGGAGTCGATAGCTTTGATGTAGGAAACCTAAACGTGGTGAAATATTAGCAAATCATATCACTGATTATCAGCAAGGTGAAAAATTGATAAAACTTACAACCTAATGTCTTGAGATACTGCTCTGTGGTCAGATGCAGATGATCTTGAGGAGGGGGGGAGGGGTATAATTCCATTCCTCAGCCAAAATGTTGCCAAAATCTAAATCCTAGTTCCATTCCCGTTTTTCATGTTTCTAAATCCCATTCCAGGCGAGCCATTTCCTGGTGAAACATCGGGCAAATGCTCGCCCCTATTTTACCCCTACAAGGCTTCCTAGAAAGAAAATCATCTCGATCCATTTAAACCAATCAGGTTCAGACCTTTAGCCCCCTAACACTACTGTCTGCTTTCCTAGGAATTTCTTTGTGTACTGTATAGGAATAAACAAAAAGGTATCCATACCTCTCAACTGCTTACAAATGTGTGCACAGAACTTGCTACATTTATCCAAAACAGTATGTTGGTAGGGGATGCAGACATCAGATGAAACCCAATTCACGTGGCTTCACTCTTTCCTTCGTCTTTGTCAGTACGTTTAGAAGTTTTTCAATATAATCATGTCTTATTTTCATCGCTATTTATACTTCCAACTTCGCATTTTTCCCACAAATCCTAAAACCCACTAAACGGCTGCGCCACTCAAATGTACATCGGGGTGACGAACGTTACGATATTACTTTACCTTAGGAACGGAATTTCTAAGTGAGCCCATAAGTGTGACGATAGTCAGCACCGTAGTTATTCCAAGAGCAACTCTCGCTGGGACTGCGTCTTTAGAAATCCAGAATGACAACCAGGAAAGAACAACGATGAGAAAGGTTGGAGAGTAAATTTGAATGAATGAGTATGCCAGCCTTCTTCGGAAAACAAACTTTGCGACCAAATGGCAGTAGGTACCTGTAAGATGTAAGTATCAATTATCATTATCAGTATTTATAACAAGGAGTTCCAAATTGAAGCGAGTAACTGAAAGAAATTAACAGTGCTTTTGATTATTTATCTATACTGACCGTCGAGATCACTCGATCACCCTTGCTTTATTTTTTTTCTATCAACTTGCGAAACTAAATGTATTGGAGAAGTGTAAGAGGAGTAAATGCTGGAAAAATTACATGCAAGCTACATATAGCACGGTAGTTGATAATTTGAATATATCAGTTACGTAGATCACAGGAGAATTTAAACATCTGAGCTCTTAAAAAGTTTATTTACCATTATGGATGGGATATACCAAGAATTATGATTTTATTTTAGGTTTGCTAGAAAGGTTATTGTTGCCTGTTGGTTAATGATAATGGCCGTTTTCACACGAGAGACGGATGATCCGTCTAAGACGGGTTATCCGTCCAGCACGGATAATCCGTCTTAGTGTGAAAACGGAACGGTGCTCATTTTAGACGGATAATCCGTCTGGACGGATTATCCGTCTCTAGTGTGAAAACGGCCAATGTAGTAAAACTACAAAAGCACGCAGGAGGTCTAAAATCCAAATTATTAAGGTAAAGTACCAATTTAAAAATCAAATCTTCTCAGCCTGGAAAAGACTGTGACCGATCATGAATGTTCATGAATGAAGAAAGTTCATTTTGGAAGCTGCATTTATGGGACAAGTACACGTATTAAACTTATCCATTTATTTTCATTTATGTTTGTACTTTTTTATTAATTCTTGGGCAATCAATAAATGTTAAAAATGTGAATTTCATTAATAATCAGGTAACGAATGATACCTATGACGTATTTCACTAGCTTCCTCTCACTTTGGGCATCAGCTAGCTCGAACTCTGACATTTCATCATCCAAAATGATGACCGCCTGTTTGGCGTCCCAGTGGTAATCCATGTCATTAATGTCATACGAGTCTTGACAGGAAATACAAACTGTTAATTATGATATTCTTAATTCTTCGTAATTAACCGTATTCTCGTTGCTTGATACACTGATATAGTCAGATATAGACAATAATAAATTTTTCTGTTGGTAATGGGACATTCCTTATCGAAAGCAAGAAAGTTATGTTGCAGGTAGGTAGGTAGATAGGTAGGTAGGTAGGTAGGTAGGTAAGTAGGCAGGCACGTAGATCTACTAGGTAGGTGGTAAGTAGATTAGCTACTCCTTATTTCAAAGTAACACATAGCGTTACACTCACAGCTCAAAATTTCAAGGACACACGTCTGCGTATCTAGGGGATAATCCCTTAAATTCATTCTGCAGGACGCAGAGACTGTTAACCTATTAAAAATGAAAGGAGAAAGATAAAAGACGGTGACTGTTATTTATTTAAAAAGACCACTTCTGTTTAAACTCCATGTCATTGTAACACGTTAACATAACTGGAAACTCATAGAAATAACTTATGGAGAACTCAAAAGTATATTAGCAGTTTAAGTTTTCCAAACAAACCACAATGTTACGTCTGCATTGCTCTGTCCAGAACATGCACCATTTCTTTCTCATAAAAAGGAAAATGTATAGTTACATGTAGGAAAGTCCTTGTAACGTTCTATACAAAAATGTATTTACCTCTCGCTGAGTTCTATATCCCCGTTCCGGGCAATCAGAACTCTGCTATTGGCGGCCGGAACATGGTGAAACTTTGCTGTTTTCACATTTAAAAAGAAGGTGTCAGGGAGCCAGAATTTGCCCTTTTCGCTGCCGGAAAGTAGGATTGGCTTTTTAAGATCATGCGTCAACCTTGGATCGTTCCAGGATTGCTTAAAAAATATATCCAGAGTATATTCCTGAGAATGAAACATAAAAGTAGGCGTAAAATACATGTAAGGTTGTTGGCATACCTAAGAATACCTAACAGGTAAAATGTATTTTGAATTTGTTAGTGCTGAAAGATGGAAGTACTTATAAGTTCTATGTCGTAACTTTCTATATTCAGAACCATCCAGCTTGACGTGCGAGAGGATCTTAGAGTTTTATGGGTCGAAATTCCACAAAGCAATTGGAGAAAAAGGTGCCAGGATATAAGGAGTACACATATCGTTAGAAACCCTGGTATGTAGGGTATAGCGCGATCACATTCCACCGCTAGGGGGTTTGGTGAACTCTCACTCGGTAGTTGCTTTGAAACAAAGGCTCAATTCGGATTCTCATTCATATAACAACGAATTTAAAGGTAACATGTACATACCATGTTAATTTCCTTTATCGCACCGAAGGAAACGACTGTGATGTACACTGAGATGTTCAACGGTGGACCTGCATCAAAAGAAATCTAGAAATCTACCAGCTGACAAACAGGCAGACAAACAGACATACAGACAGACAGACAGACAGACAGACAGACAGAGCTAACAACCGACTAAATGGCCGACCAAGTGACCGATCGACAGACAGACGGAACGACTGACTGACTGACAGGCGAGCGATCATCGACCGACCGACTCACTGTCTAACTGACTGACTGACCGACTGACTGACTCAGCGACCGACCGACTTGCTGACGGACTCTTAAGAATAGTTTGCACCAAATGGTGCAATGTTAAAAGTAGACACCAATGTCGCACCTCCGAACAAAATCCCAACCCAGTTTCTAATGCTTATAAGTTTCAAGACCATCTGCAGAAGCCAATCTTACCTTCATGATAGGGCCTTATTCTCTTGTCATACTGCCCTGGCTTCGAAAGTGAATCGAGCACTCTGGTTGTGTTTTGATAACGTCTTTAAAAACAAACGTGTACATGAAATTAGTGCTTGTAGAATTTGGATAAACAGATATTTTTCTAACCACCCTCCAATGCCGTCAAATGAGTATCGTAAACAACAAATCTACAACACTTCTCCATTGGTGTATAGGTGTGTTCTTACAGTTGTGAATACGACCTTACACACTGAATATGGTCGAGATTAATAGCGGGTTGGCATGGTCGTTATTCTTCGCGATTGATCACGGTGTTTTTGCGCTCGTTCTATGACACTTTTTGGTGAACAATCTCAACAATATCAGCTGTAAGCACTTACATTTTAGGTACGTTTTACAGTATAGGGAAGATTAAGGAATACCATAGCTCAATTCCTCAACGGCATTTCTCTTACCTATCAGAGTTTGCTCGTGATGCCAAGCAAATGGTGGCCAACATCACAACAACCAACTTCATAACCATTCACGTTGCAATCAGATTCTACCTTCCAATGTTATGCTAACTGAAAAGAAAGACTTCTCAGTTTTGTATGATCGCCAGCGATGGATGAAACTATCTGTAAATAACGTAGGTATGCTAACGTAGCCATTTACGCAGGCACCTAATTTCTCTCATGGACTCACATAAGCGGTGTTTCAAAGAGAGATGTTCACAAAGTGAAAACGATGCATTAAACTCAGTTCGGTAACTGTCGTTAAAATCAGTAGTAATCCTACCAGAGTTTTTTGACAGTTTAACGCCTCACCAGGCATTGTGTACTGTTCACTACAAAGAGGTAGAAATCGACACCTTACTGGCACCCATTCCCACAACCACTACCCCATCACCTTCATCCGGGCTCTATAAATGAAGCTCGATTGTTGATTGCACTGATTCATGTCCTAATTTTTATTTTTTTGACAGACCGTAAAAGTGAGTAATAGTAGACAAAATGATACTAATAATATTTATGCTTTGTTTACATTATGATCTGACATTCTTAGTGATTTGGATTATGTCCCATACTGCGTACGTAACCCTCAGATTCAGGTTATCAATCAAAAATCCAGCCACTTTCAGACCTGCGCTTCGTGGTAAAACTAAATAGAGAACCTAATTAATTCAAGAGTTTAATTGTAGGAACATATTTATCAGCTTGTTAGAGCGGATATTTGTGTGGTTTCCCACAGCACGTACCTTGCTATGTAGCCGGAAAAACCTCCTAGGATTCATTATGACTGCGTTTGATTCCGCTTAATTTAAACCAAGCAACGTTTCTCGAAATCATTGCCGAGACAATTTAAATAGAGAGCTTTGTAATTACTTTCTGAATGGAGAGAAACGTTGTGGTGATTTCGATGTTTTCCTTGAAATTTCTAACTCCGATATTTGTGTTTTCGTATCTCTTGGAGGAGCGAAGATAGAAAATGAAAGGCAAAATCAAATTACTGACAATAGTTAAGATGAATTTTTCACAGACACTTTTCCATTTGTTGGCGACTATTACTGCATTTGAAATAGTTTTACCAAACCCAGTTTTAAATTCTGGTTCCGTAAGATTTTGATAATACTTGAGACAATGAGATTGTAAACAAATTAACAGTTTTAAGCATCACAGGTTGCATTTCTTTAACTGAAAAACTAAAATCTGGTAGCACTTACTGTTTGAAATGCCTTTGCCAAAGAGAACGCTCCTTACGAACATGTTATCCTCAAAGATTACCGTTATGTTGTACATTCTATTTGCATTATCAGTGTGAAAATTAAAATTTCATGTTCAAAATATATCAAGAATTTATGTTTTGTATTTTGCGGTAAACTGAATACATATTTGGTTTGAAATGATTGGATCCATGGGAGCTGCTACTGTTTGCTTGTAAAATAACAATCAACATGGTCTATTTTCGACGTTCATTAGATTTTTTGTCTCCAAGATTCTCATCAGTTTTGTATAAGTATAAACTAAGATTGCATTAAAATTTTTGAAAAAGAGGCACATAGAGTTCGATTAAATCAAAAATCTTCCTCAGCGAAACCTGGTCAAGTTTGATGTCGAAGACCGCCAGTGGAGGCTCACTTATCAAACTGCCAAACCTGGGCGTTTACGCCGGTGCGTGTATAGTATTGCTTCAGTTGCGCACTGGCCTCATGATGAATAACCATGTTTATTAATGATTTCTCGACGAAGTCTGAATCAGTTACGATCGACACGTTTGTAGTTGGATCGACCTTTCAGTTCTATTCGACTACGTCAGTCGAATAGAGCGGCAAAAGTTCGGCTTCGATTCAGACGTTGAACTTTCCATGAGCCGAATCTAATTTAATGCATACATTACGTATACGACGCCGGATTTTGTGTCGAATTAGCAATAACGTTTGACATATTACTAGGTTCGACATCTGAATCAACAGTCGAACTTAATTTGTTGAGTCAACTCAAAGTGGTATTACCTTCGGCACACGTAAAGTTCCGCGTTTCAAATAAGTCTTAGCCAGCGAACGAAAAACAACCCGCGGATATCCGTTGGCAGACGTAAACAGGAAGTAAGATAGCAACTAGCTAACTCGTAAATATAATGAATCAACACCAGGACTCTGGTGGCGTGGTCTACACAGTGGAAAGTGAACCTTGTATCAGCGAAAATGAAAGAGTCGCAAAACCCGATATAATATTTTTTTATAAAATAATAAAATATAATAAAATCCAATATAAATTCATTATTTTGATAAATCTAAATCTCGATATCCAAGACATCTGCAGATTACTGATCTCAAAAAATACATCAGTTGTCCTCTGTGGCAAGCGCTATCTGTCACGAATATAGTGGAAACATTTGCAAGTCTATCTTCCCAGATATCATTTACCGGATTGATCACGTGAAATCTGTCTTTTTTTACACTTATCCTTTGAGGTTTACCAATACCACAAGTAAGGTTCTCTGTGCATGAGTTTGATTAATGATATGAGATAATTTCGTTTCCATAACCACGTAAATAAGTTGCAAAGTTTTGACACTGATGTTTTTGTTTGTGTTTGTCTTTCTTTTGTTTGTTTGTTTGTTTGTTTGTTTGTTTCAATTATATCTGGACTACAATTTTAAGCATTACCTTTAAATCGTACATTTGCTAAGAGATACTGTTAGGAGAAATCCAAACTAGTATCTTTTAAAAAAAACATTAAGTCATACATTTTGAACAGAAAGGTAAAGTGAATAATTTTCTTATGGCCGTAAACTAGATAAAAAACATTTTAGGTCAAATACAGAACTTCCTCCGGGCCATTACGAGGAATCATAATTTTGTATGTTCTTCCAGAAAAGACGGCAATCCATGACCTCTCTGAACCTGTTCTGTTAGCTGGAATAGGCCCCATTTATTATATACACAGCCATTTACGTCATGTCCATTTGTTGGCTTCTTGCCTCTTCAAATCCTTATTTACAGAAATGTATTCAAACTCTCCAAAAAATTCTACTCTGAGATTATTTTAGAATTCCCTTATAAGGTAATAAGACTTAACAGAATTCATTTGAATAGTACTGTAGTCTAAAACAAATTTATTGTATCAGCCGGCTGAGTCGAATTGGTTATCGATCGAGTAATCTATGAAATAAAAAACCTTTCTTTGGATCCTATATGTACAACGAACTACAAATAAACCAAAGTAGGCCTTAAGTCACTTGGCAGCCATGTTAACTAACAACGGGAAAATATGCCAGTTACCGAGTGCCTTTTATTTAATTCAATTTCAGAACGGAAACTTTTCTTGTGAACTGGAATCACATTGTGTATTTTGAGAGTGTTTATAATATTCCAAAACACCTTGCAATTGTCGTAGTTATCACGAGCTTCTGGATAGAACTCGATCTAGCGGGCCCTTTCATTATCACTTTTTACGATATTGTACTTGATAAAAACACCGACAATTTATCTAATATTACAACATAAAATATATGTAACTCGACAGTAACCGAAGGATAATGTGTATGTATCATGTATAAATCTGTGCACAGACAAATTTTGGACAGAGAAGGTTTCAGCGAAGTTAAAACAATAACTTATCAAGATAACGCTTGTTCTTAACATCGGCTTGTATCAAAGAAACAGGTAAGTGGACTGCGATTGGTCAAGAAATTGCATCTTTCATAAATAACAAGCACATCTGTTTGTCTTGGGACCGCCCGAATCTTCTAAACAAAAGATTGATTTCAATATTTTAAATTTAAAAGTCTCTGCTTTGCATTTAACAATGTTCGTTTAGATTGCGTCTGGGTTTATGAGACAGGTCTATCATAGAGATACTTCGTGTATCATCTTAAATTTGGTGAAAACTCAAAAAAGTGTATCTTTTGCGTCTTAGAAAAATGAAATTCTACGTCTTGGTGCGCTTTTCGTTATGTGCTTGTCTGAACATTCTATTTACCTCATCTAAAGGTAAGCACTGCAGGATATTATAGTTAGAGAAAAAGTATTTGCATTTATGTATCCTTTCCTTCGTCTTTCCTTGATTTTTCCTCTTGATATCATGTGATTTTTAGACCAAAATTGTTATAGTAGTGATTTAGTTTTTAGGTCGACCTTGGCTTACGTTTGCGTGTTGCAATGAAATTCGAAAAGCGCATTTCAAATATATATATGCA